GAGTGATATGCATGTGTGAGTGATACACACGTGTGAGTGAAACACGTGTGATTCACACGTGTGAGTGATGTGCACATGTGAGTGATGCACACGTGTGAGTGGTATGCACATGTGTGACGTGCATGTCTGAATGAGATACATGTGTGAGTGATGCACACATGTGAATGATACACATGATGTGCACATGTGAGTGAAAGAAGGATCAAGCCAGAGTGTGAGGGAGTGATATGCACGTGTGAGTGATACACATGTGTGAGTGAAACATGTGTGATACACACGTGTGAGTGATGCGCACATGTGAGTGATGTGCGGGAAGTAGAGAAGGGGCAGGGGGTGGGGAGGGGCTGGTGATCCGCATGAAGTGATCCTCCTTCATGTGAGTGAAACACGTGTGAGACACATGTGTGAGTGATGTGCTTGTGTGAGTGGTACCCACATGTGAGTGGTATGCACGTGTGCATGTGCCATGCTGTGCGTAGTTAAGTTGCATGGCCTGCATTGGGGCGTGTCCCCAGCTGCTTGGCGCTTACTGTTCAGACTCAGGGGAGGTGACATTCAGAGGGCTGTGACGTCATTACTGAGGTGTGGCGGAGGCGGGTCCAGGGACTGCTGGACGTGGTGTCTCGCTGTGTCTGGGGCGGGGGGCAGGGAAGCTTTGTTTCAGGAAGGGTGACTGCTCCTATCAGGCTTGAGTGGAGTTGTCTCACTTCTGGTGGGAGTTGGGGCATGTGCAGAAGGTGTAGGGACAGCGCGTGTCCCCAGGGTGCCAGGGCCTGTCCTCAGTGATGCAGTCAGCGCCCTGAAACCACATTTCTCCTTTGCCCTGGAGGCAGCAGCTCCTTCCTGTGGCACCAGCTAAACCACATGTTCAGTTTTTCAAATTTTCAGAATCAGCTGCCTATAGCCACCCTCCTCCACCCTCCGAGACAGCAGCCCTAGCCCAGCAATGCTCCTGTGCAGGGCCGGGGCCCCAGGGCACAGCACCCCTCCTCCAAGCTGAGACACCAGCAGGCGCTGATGAGGGCCCGCCCCGACTCCCGGCTCTCGTGTTCCTGGCCTGGGTTGCTCCCTAGCACCAGCCTCGAGCATTCAGTAGCCAGTAGCTCTTATGTGGCAGCTCTTGGTGTTGAACCGCCCCTGTTGGAATTCCTGCTGTGGTGGCTGCTTCCTGCCTGGACCCTGAGGGTGCCACTCCTGTCCTGCAGGTAGACTCCAGGTGGGCAGGTGTCCATGCAGGGGCAGCCCAGGAGGCTGAGCCATTGTCCAGGAAAGAGGGGATGATGGCCTTTGCTGGGCGGTGGTTTCATGATTAAATCTGTCCTCAGATAATCGGGGTCAAGGCCAGAAGAGCTATTTCTTCCTGATGGACTGGGATAGTTGAAATGGGCTCTCTGAAACAGCGTCACTAGTTTCAGGGGTGCCCTACAAGGGTACAGAGGGTGTTTCACTCCAGACGCTTGGGTGGAGACTTCTGCAAGTGTGGCCTGGGAAGAGCTGCTGTGCAGGCGTGACCCACCTCGTTCCTGGAGTGACCCAGTGCCCGTCTGACCTGCCAGTTCAAGGGGAGTGCCTCTCTTTTAAGTCTTGTCTTTTTATTAAGAGTTTTAGTGTTTTTGTTTTAGGAAACTGCTTAAAACTTATACATTTTGCAACAGCTTGAGCAATGGCTGTACAGTAGCCAGAATCTTCCCAAACCTATGTGGTCTCTCGGTGATGATTGCAACATTTTGCCAAACACTGTGGTATGCTCTTGGATGAGAGGTGTTATAGTAGGACAAATAGTTCTGAGGTTTTTTAGGGTAAAATAACTGGTTTTATTTCCTGAAAATAAACATGTGAATGGTATATGATGGAACGAAAGGCAAGGAGTGTAAGGTTACATTATGTTTTAATAGCTTGGGTTTTAAAACACTTACATTTTTGTTTAGTTGCACAATGCACATCAAAGTATCCAAGTGAACCACAGCCACGTGGGGGCCGCTGCCACAAACCGTCATCCGGCAAGTCCAAGCGCAGGAGAGGCGCAAGTCATCGTCGGCCCAGATGCCATATTTCCAGTAAAATATAAAACAGGCCATTTCTAATTTAAGCTCAGTAACCAGCACAGCCACGTTAGTCAGGCATCAATATGCTTTGGCTTATTTATTTTTTACTGTCCTTGTGCACCACCAATAAAATGATCTCTCCTGAGAGTTGCCCCTGTAGCTGGTTGTGTTGGACAAACAGAATTTGACTCATTTTATCATTGCATTTACAGGAGTGCCAAATACTTCAAAGAGTGACGGCCGTATTTTCCTACTTCTAAGTTATGCGTTCATATCATTAAGTGGCTCATTTTTAGGGTGAAAATACATAAATCTTTTATGATTTAGTAATATCTTTAAAAATCATACCAAGTGTTTTTACTTTCTATCTTTTTAAAACTTGACAGGCCATTACCATTTTGTGGTAGATATTTGCTTTTTTATGTTGTAAATACATAGTATCAGACAGCTAATTTGAATTAAAAAACAAAAATATGTAAAGATTTAAAAACTTTTCTAATGAAACAGTTTTATTACACAGAAGATTTAGATTTCAGAAATAGTCACTTTTCTCTATTAGTTTTAGATCCTGATGTATTTTAAAAAATAAATGATTGTTGATACAGATAAAACCCTACACTCACCACTCCCTCTCATTCTTCTCTGATGACCACGACTGAACGTGGCTCGGGTCTGTCGCAAGTGCACGTGTGTGAGCAGTGAAGCGTGTTGTTCAGTACTGCAGACCTCTCTGCTACTTCAATTTTAGTCCACACTATATGTTTGCATTGATCCATTTTGATGCATTTCTGAGTATGCACTGAAAGCCTCTATATTTTCCTCTGAATACTGCTTTAATTGCACTTTGCCAGTTTTGGCATGTACTATTTTTATTACCATTCAGCACTAAATATTTTCTAACTTTAATTATGATTTTGTTCAACCCAGGCTTAGGTTTGTGATTATAGATTTCTGTGTATATGAGTAATTTTTGGTAATCTTTTTTGTTATTGATTTCTAATTTCATGGCATTGTGTTCAGAAAGTGCACTCTATATAGTATAGACTTTCTTGGTATCTTTTGAGATTTTTCTATTTGTTGAGAAACTTGGCTTTCTGTTTTTTTTTAATAAATATTTTTGCTAACTGTTAGGTACATCTTTACATAGACATCTATTGGTGCAACCATGTTAATTGTGTTTAAACTGTTCAGGTCTTCCTACTTTTTTATATGCTTGATTTTTTTAATTGTTTAGGAAAATATGTTAAAATCTCCTGCTGTGGCTGTAATTTTGTTAATTTCTCCTTATAATTCTATTAATTTTTGCTTTATGTATCTGAAGGCCATGTTATTAGGGTTTTAAGTTCAGGCTTCTTACATTTTCATGTGCAGTTGTCCTTTGTATCAGTTGTAAAGGAAATATTTCTAATTAGGCGTTCTTTGCTTTGCATCTTTTTCCTGGTGCTAACACCATTGTGCCTGCTTGTCAGTAGCACATGCTGCATTTTCCTCCACCTTTCACTCTCAACCTTTTCTAAAAAAAAATTATGTTTTAAGTGTTTTTTGTAAAATCCAACCTAAGATTATCTTTTCTCTATTTGTTGAGGTGAGCCAGTTTGCAACTATTATGATTACTCATGTGTTTGATATTATTTTCTGCTTTCTCCTCCACATTTTTGTCATGAATTTTCTTTGCTTCTTTATTTCTTCTTCTTCAACCCTCTATGGGATTGAACAAAACCTTTTAGGATTCTCTCTTTGCCTTGGAAGGCCCCCATTAGACACGGCTTCTGTTCTGTTCAGGCCCTTGCTCTTCGGCGTCTGTGGACCAGCAGCTGCTGCTGTGGCCGCCGCCACCTGTCTCTGTCCTCCCGCAGCCCGGGCCGCGGTTCCCTTCCTTTCACACCGAGCGCCTCACGTAATGCCTGCGCTCGGCAGGTGATCTCTAGGTGTCTGCTGAGTGTCTGCTACGTATGTTCATGTTGTATTGTGAGTTGCCAAGATCCTGGCCTGGGCCTGTGGGTGGAACTGGGAGTGCAGGAGCTTAGCAACTCTGTGCGGCGAGTGGACACTGTGTCGGTGTCTTGACTGCGAGTGTGTATAAAAGAGTTTGTGCTTCCAGATTCTGTTGTGAGGATGCAACGCACGGGACTTAGAATGTTGTCTGGTACAGAGTTGAGACCCACTGCGTGCTATTTTGTTGTCATTTTTATTGAACTTATGTAGCCCTTATTGCCTGCTTGTAATGAAGAATGTCTTCTAGTTGTATTTTAAGCATAAATGCTATGGGTGTCCTTCATGAAATCTGTCTTAATGTGTTGGATATTATTGACCTAGAAGGAAGCTGGAAATCACTGTGAATCATTGTATATTTAGGCCATGTTTAGGGCCAAGAGGTTCTGTAGATGGAGTTCAGTTCAGTCCCATTTAGTGAGATGTTTCTGATTACGACAGAATTTCTCCTGGCAGAGCCAGGGCCAGGGCCTCACGGGGCTCCACACCTCGATGAGAGAAACGTCTGGGCCAGGGAGGGTCTTACCTGCACCGTTCCCCCAGGACCTGCTCTGTGTGTCCTGGGGTTTGACACTCAGCAGTCAATAACTCTCCTTAACTTCAAGTGCCTTACTAAGAGGCACCTTTCAGGTGGATATGGCCTTTGACCTATACTTTAAAAATAAATTTTGGTATGTTAATATCTTGGTCTTTGATCTTTGATCATTTTATATTTCCACAACTCTCAGTGGCTTTACATATAGAGAGAACATACACCAATCATTCTTAGGGTCAGAATGTGTTCTCGTTAATTACTTTATAAGGAAGATTTTGGAGTCCAGTGCTGAAATTGCTAAAAATGAGGAAAAACTTTGTGTTAATTTCTTGCCGGACATTCAGATATTATTTGAGATCATTTGTATTATATAATGCTCCTTAATTCAGCCTTTAAAAGCACATCTTGGTTTCCCCTTATCATTACAGGGCTCATCGTTTGCGACCCAACAATCCCAGGCGTATGATCTTTTCCTCACCTGCGCGGTGGGCGACGGGCTGCGGCTGTGGGACCTGAGGACCCTGAGGTAAGGCCGCCCGGGCGCCAGCCTTCCTGCTGAGAGGTGAGGCCAGAGAGCTGGGAATGCGGGTTGATCTCCTTTTCCAAATATGCTAAGGCCGTGGCTAACCTGTGCACACCGACCAGGCTAAGAAAAGACTGACTTATGCGCGGAGACCGAAGCCTGTGCACCCGGGATGTGAAGTAGCAGGCGCAGTCTTTCCTCTGCTGCACGTGACCTAAAGCACAGCAGCCCCTGCATGTCAGACGTCGGAAGGTGACCGCTGTGTCTCAGGATGTGGTTGGCACCCTTCCTGTCCACGCTGAACACCCCTCGCTGGGCTCAGCACATCCCCGTTGGCTCAGGGCCAGCGACACCTCATTAGGTCACAGTTCCCTCGGGTGAGGGCGTTGCCTTAGATGCGCCGTAATTAACCAAGGGCATTTTGCATTTCACACCAGGTATAGTATATGTGGACTTTGAAAACACATTGTATAACATTTAGAAAGCACCTTAGTTCTGTCAACAAAATATCTAATAACCCTTTTAGCATAATGATTCTTAGCTTTGTTAGTTATTGCTGTCGTTTATGCCATTGCTGATTTGGCAATGGACACTTTTGGACACTTTTTAAGGAGGTTTTTAAATGCACAAAATGGAATATATAGGATTGTGAAGGAAACCAGTTATATTGATATATAGTTATCAAAATATTTAGAAACTTGGATATAAAAATGTTTGCTTCTTTATTAATGGATACAGTAACAAGACCTGTGGTCAGCTTTACCAACCATCAGTATTTCTGATTAGTGGTGAGAAATGACGTGTTCGGTCCGTGCTGCATAGTGACATTCTGGCCAATGACGGGCTGTGTGTGCACACTGGTGGTTTCATGACATTAAAATGGAGTGAAATATTCCTATCACCTGTTACTTGTTCAGTTTTACCTTTTATCATCGTTTAGAATGTTCTCCTCCTGCTTGTAAAAACAAATCAGGTGTAGAACAGCCCCAGGCAGGCCCTGCAGGTGGTGTGCCGAGGGGGAGTCGTTTTCAAGGAGAGAAGCTCCATGTGCTGTTGCCTCTGACGACCGCCCAGTGGGGCCAGGTGTGCAGGTAGAAGACAGTGACGTTGACAGTCACCCATGTGGGCCTAGGCTAATGTGTGTGTTTGTGCCTTAGTTTTTTTACCAAAAAAAGTTTAAAAAGTTAAAAAAATTTAAAATAGTGAAAAGCTTATAGAATAAGGATGTGAAGAAAAGAAAACATTTTGTACAACTGTACAGTGTGTTTGTGTTTTAAGCTAAGTGTTACCCCAAAGAGCCCAATGTTAAAAAAATTTTAAAGCTTATAAAGTAAAACAGTTATAGTAATCTAAGGTTAACTTATTGAAGAAAGAAAAATATTTTTAGAGTAAACTTAGTGTAGGCTGAGTGTCTACAGTGGATGAAGTCTACAGTGTGTACAGGAATGTCCTGGCCTCTGCACTCGCTTGCCACTCACTGATTGGACACAGCGACTTCCTGTCCTGCACGCTACGCTCATGGGCAGTGCCATCTGCCACAGGTGCACCGTTATCTTTTATACCACATTTTTACTGCACCTTTTCTGTGTTTAGCTGTGTCTAGACACGCAACTGCCGCCGTGCTGCAGTGGCCGGCGGTGCTCAGTACAGTGATGTGCCACACAGATTCGCAGCCCAGGAACGGCAGGCGACGCCACTCAGCCCGGCGTGCCAGAGGCTGGGCCGACAGGTGTGTGCAGGTGCACTCAGTGACACTCACACGGCACGGAATTGCCTGATGCTGCATTTCTCAGAACGTGTCCCTGTCATCAAGCAGCTCAGAACTGTGTGGTTAACTATCGGCATCTTCTTGGTAGTCGACAAACAGCCAACAGCATCCTTTCTTTAGCGGCTCTTATTCAATTCACAGTTTCAGAGGGTAACATTTACTTTGTCTTCTAGTCTTGCTGACCCATCCTTCCTACAACCTGCCAGGCATCTGCGTGGTGGTGCTTTCAGCGATTCTTTGCCGTGTTGGTTGACAGAATAGACCATGGGTTCTCTCCTCCCGCTGTTTTCGAGCTCAGTCCAGTCACGCTTGGCACTTACTGCGGTGCCAGGTACTGTGGGAAGGATGCACCTGTGTTAACTCATTCGAGCCCACGTCACACATGGGGACAGCGGGGCACAGAGGCTGACGGCTCCGGAGGATGTTGGGTGAGAAGGGGATGGGCCGGGCCTGGGCCTGGCCCCAGGTACCTGCTCTGGCACCGCTCTGCGTGGCCCCTTGAGGGCCCGTGGACAGACACTGTGATCACGGGGAGACGTCATGGAACGTGTGGCGTAGGTGCAGCGGGTGCGGCTGCACGGCGTGCTTCTCAGTTTAGTTAAAGGGAAAAATCTATGTGTATAATTCTCACATGTAAGATACTTTTTCACTATTAGTTTGTTCCTTTTTGAGAAGAAAAGCAACAAGTGGGTTTCATTCCTGTAATTTGTGTTGAAATTTGAAAATTTCTTTTCTTTTTCCCTTGTAGGTGTGAGCGCCAGTTTGAGGGGCACCCAAACCGCTGCCATCCGTGTGGAGCTGCCTTCAGCCCCTGTGGGCGGTTCGTGGCGTGTGGCGCTGAGGATAGACATGTACGTGCTGTTTGCTAGTATTTAAATGCAGAGATTCCAGACTTCATTATTGTGTGGGCTGTTTAGCATTGTTGCGTATTTGGATAAAAATCTATTTGTGCATCTATTGGCCACTATTTTGAGACTTTTACACAGTAATATTAATTCAGTAATATGTGTGAGGTATGAACGGCTCTCATGTTCTTACAGTGAAGCATGATAAACACCAATCATTAATTCATTTCTTTATTCGTTTATTAATCATTTCAAAATGCTTTTTGAGTGCCTACTATGTGAAAGACATTGTACTACATGCTGTGCTTTCCTTTTATTACTAGATGATGATATTAATTAGTAAAATGCCAGGTCTTCTCTAACTGGGGTTTCCCTTTCCAAGTTAGATCCCCCGGGACACTATGTTCATTTTCATGGAATTGTCCGCCCTCCTCTGCCAGCACAAACTGCCCATCATACACACGTGTCACATGGTGCACTTGGAACAGGTGCTAATAACATCCCTTTGTCCTTAACATGTGTAACAAGGTCTCGTGTTAGTTCCTAGGGCTGCTGTGACAAACTACCACAAACTTGGAGGCTTGAAGCAGCAGATTTTATTTGCCCCAATTCCGGGGTCTGAAATGAAGGTGCTGGCCAGGTCGTGCTTCTGCAGGGTCTGGGGGAGACACCGTCACAGCTTCTCCCAGCTTGTGTGGCGATGCCTGGCCCTCGTGGGCTGGGGCGTGTCCCTCCTGCCTCTGCCTCCGTCTTCTCGCTGTCCCTTCTCCTGTAGGGACACTTGCTGCATGTGGTTTGAACGTTTGTCCCTCCAAACTAACGTGGATGAGTAAGAGCCACCGTAGCACCTGCCCTCGTGGGTGGGGTAAATGCGATCACAACAGGGTGAGCCCGTCACGTAGGACTTTAGGGTGACACATGTGTGTTGGGGTTCATACTTCAGCCCATAGCACTTACAGAATAGAGTTTTCTGATGATTTAAAAAGACTAAACAAACTAACATGTGTGTGTACATCTCAATACAATCACTCGAGCTTTTGCTTTCTTTTTCTTTCTTTTCTTTCCTTTCCTTCCTTCCTTCCTTCCTTCCTTCCTTCCTTCCTTCCTTCCTTCCTTCCTTCCTTCCTTCCTTCCTTCCTTCCTTTCTTCCTTCCTTCCTTCCTTCCTTCCTTCCTTCCTTCCTTCCTTCCTTCCTTCCTTCCTTTCCATTTAACATGTTCTATCTTCCTCTCAGCTTTATTTTGATTTGTCCACATCATGAAATTTAAACTTGTTTTTTGTTTTACACAGCTCAAGTTGAGTCTTATTTTTTTAACTAATGTGACAATTTCTCTCTTAATTGGTATGTTTACCAATTTACCTTGAGTTGACACTTTACCCCTCCCAGTGACGTGTGGGAACCTATGGCTGTATTGGCTCCTGAAGTCTCCCCATTATCCTGTAGTTGTCACACGTGTTACATCCACATATGTTCAAAACTCTATCACATAATGTTGTGATTTTTTTGTTTCAGCAATTATCCAATTTTAAAGGAATTTAGAGGAATATAATAGTGTAATATATTTACCCAGACACTTATCATTTCTGTTGCTTTTTCTTCATTCCTTAAGTTTCAAGTTTCCCTTTAGCGCAATCTCTTTCTTTGCTGGAGAATTTTCTTTAGCGTTTGTTTCGTGCAGTTCTGCTGGCTGTGAATCTCCCGGTTTTCTTTCATCCCAGAATATCTGTATTTTGCCTTCATGTCTAAACATCTTCTCACTGGGATGGAATTCAGCCTCGACAGTTATTTTCTTATAGTACTTTAAAAACGCTGTTTTACTGCCTTCCAGCTAAGTCATCCAATCGTCGTCTTCCTATGTACTTAATTTGTTGTCCTGGCTCTTTCAAGATTTTTCCTTAACTTTAATTTTCAGAAGCTTGACTCTGATTTGTTTAAGTGTAGTTTCCTTCTGACTTACCACGTTTGGGAGTCATTGAGTTTTTCAATCTGAGATTTTATGTCTTTTACCCAATTTGGGAATTTTTCTGTCATTATTTTTTCAAACTTTTTCTCTGCAGTATAAATGGTGACAGAAAGATGTTTGCTGTCTGTGGAGAGGATATATAATAAATGGTTAAGACATTCTGAATTTAATCCCAGTGTAGCTTTCATGTCCAGACATGGCTGCTTCCTGTTGAAACATGTCAGTTTCTTTCAGAGCGGTCTTTATTTTAACCTTCGCAGCCCTTAGGAAGCAAGTATATTCGGTATTTAGCAGCCAGATATGCATTTCTGTGATTTATTTATTTTTTTTCTTTCACTCCAAATGGTCAGCACTAAAAGTCTCAAATAATATGTCCAAAAAATCCGGAATGTGTGTGATCGTAATTAAGGAGCCTGCTCAAAATGTGCAGGTAAATTAATTTTCTTTTGCCTGGAGTGTGAGTAGGAGGGAAAGAAGTATCTAGATAATCTGAATCAGCGTGTTCCTAGTAAAAACAGTTTTACGTATATAAAGAAAACTTTGGCTTTGTTTTGATTTGAGGCAAATTATATACACATATGCATTTTGGTCCTATTTATTTGCCTATAATAACAAATATAACAATAGTTAGTTTGAGTAATACAATATGAGTTACTATATAACATGACTTCATAAATTCAAGCTATTTCCTAAAATTCACTTTAGAATAAAGTTATAGTAGTAAATAGTGTTGCAAGCTAAGTTATCAAACAGGGTACAATATAATTTAATTTTGGATAGCACCATTGCTGTTTATGATAAAATCCTTACTTTAATTTTAAAAGTTTTTTATTTTTAATTATGAGTACATGATAGTTGTATGTATTCATAAGGTACATGTGATGTTTTGATACAGGCAAGCATTCACATTCCATTCTTAGTTATTTTAAAGTATACCCTACTTATTGTTTCTTATTATTTATTATAATTATAATTTATTATTTATAAATCAATTTTTTTTTTTAATATTTTGAGACAGGGTCTTACTCTGTTGCCCAGGCTAGAGTACAGTGGTGTCATCATAGCTCACTGTAACCTCAAAGTCCTGGGCTCAAGTGATCCTCCTGCCTTAGCCTCCCAAGTAACTGGGACTACAGGTGTGCACCATAATGCAAGTATATTCAATATTTAGTAGCCAAATATACATTTTCTATTTTTACTAGAGATGGCGTCTTGCTCTTACTCAAGCTGGTCTTGAACTCCTGGCCTCAAGCGATCCTCCTACCTCGGACTCCCAGAGTGCTGGAATTACAGGCGTGGAACCACTGCGCCCGGCCCCAATTTACTGGGTTACTGGGGTGAGGCAGGAGGATTGCTTGAGCCCAGGAGTTCATGACCTTAGTTTTGTTTTGAATGAAGACGTTTTATAGAAGTATGATGAGAAAGGTGTAAATAATCACGTAAAGGTTGTATTATTTTACGTGAACTATACTGTTTGTAAAGCACACTCAGTACCATCCTCATTTCACTTTCTTTTTCCTCTTCTGCGATCTGGTTGTCACGTCTGTGACCCCTTCACTGTTGGTGGTGCTGCGCTTGCTGAGACGCTTCCTTCTCTGAGCCGTGGCTTCCCTTGGCTCTTACCAGAACCTTCTCTTCTCCTTCCCTCCGCATGTGAGTCCTTCCGATTTCCCTGGTAGCTTTACTGCTCCACCTCTTCCAACCACTGGGGTTCTCTGGAATTCTGCTGTCTACCCTCTACTCTGCTCATTTCCCACATTCTTGATGGGCCGTCCTGTTTTAATGCCAGCACTTCAATTGTCATTGCTGTCCTGATGATTAGCCTACAAGTTTGATATGCATTCCCAACTTCACACCTGGCTAAACATTACTCATTATGTTAATAGTTTCCTCTGTCCTTAAAATGGACTCTGCCTCGGAATTGTCCAACCTTGCTCGGTCCTCTGGGTGCCTTGTCCCCTCTCTCTCAGTGTTTGGGGGGTGCATAGCTGCCTGGGCTCTTGCTGATCTGTCGCAACCACTCTCATCACCGGCCACTTGGCTCTTTCTTCACTGTTGCCAGCGTTGTCTTCTCCAGCTCAAGCCCAGCCCTGGCCAAGAGGGGATAGCGTGGAGCCAACTCATGCTCCTCTCAGGACTGCTCAGGGAAATGTGTTTAGGCAACAGGACCTGAGGTGCAGGGACAGCTCACACTGTGCAGCTACTTTTTCCCTAAAGGAATTTGCCATTTCTGAACATGGAAAAGGGGCCCAGACTTCAGGCAAAGACCACCCAGAGAGATGCAGCTGTGCGTGTGTATGTCTGTGTGTGTCTATGTGTATCTCTGTGTGTGTCTATGTGTGTGTGAGAGAGTGAGTGGGGAAAGAGGTGAGGCTGTGCTTAAAAGTTGGCAGAGATTTTATTGATATTGTGGGAACAGAGAGACAAAAACTCGAAGACTTTAGGGCCACAGAGGCTCGAGTGCCATGCCCCCCGCCATCAGTTTTTCTCTAACACATTTTAATGGATTCTGGAGCCAAGCAAGGGAGGAGGCTGATTCTCTCATCTGAAAGCTTTGGGAACCAGGGTGGGATCTTGAGCAATCCTCCAGCCCTGAGGCTATGAGGAGTAGGGCTCGGTATGTGCTGGGGGTGGGCATTCCTGGGGAACAGCGTGGCTCACCCTGGATGAACCAGGAGCTAACTGAAGCTTCTCCAAGCCATGGCCCAGCCTTGAGTCTGCTCGGTTCTGATGGAGAGAGGGAGTCTTCCTGCTCTGTCTAGCTCTCTGGAGTACAGTAAAACAATTTCAAGCCTCAGGAGTGTTGTATACACAGTGTCCAGCAGTCAGTCAAAAATGACAAGTGTGTCGAGAGAGAGAGCCAAAGACCAAGAAAAGAATGTAATAAAAACAGAAGCATGGGTGATGCAGACATTGGACTTAGCATACAGGACTTAAAATTACTGATTAATATATTCAAGGAAACAGAGGACAAGTTGCAGGCCATAGACATAAAGATGAAGAATTTTACCATATAACTGGAATCTTCTAGAACTGAAGAAT